ATTTTTTTTTTTTTTTTTTTGATAATCCACTTCAACCTTCCACTGCAGGATTCTGAAAACGTACCTCCATCTATAGGAAACAACCACGACCGCAAGGCTGAGGAGTACGTCGATAACGAATCGAATTTATATTTAACCTGAAAATCTCGCGCTAATCTAGATTCATCCAGCTTATCACTGTCAGGGCTGTCTCAAAACTGGATCTGTAGGACAGCGTTAAATGGAAATATACATTTTGAATCAGTTTTTGGTAATTATGTGCTGCTTTTTGAAGAGCAGGGCGCTATTAAGGAATAGCCTACGGTTTATTTCCCGAAATTTGATTCTCTTTGACGCTCTAAAAGGGAAATTGACCGACTTTACAACGACTGTCAATCAGGCTCCCACATGGCCATCTTGAGAAACAGCGTAGTTATAGTTAAGCCTATATTTTTATTATGTGTCACTGAAAATTTGAGTATTTAAATAAATAAAGTATGTATCAGTGTATATAAGGGAACACCATTGAAATGTACCGAGATTTACAACGTACGTGCAGAGCCATTGTACTGCTCATTGAATCGTTGTTAAACGATGTTCACTTTGCCGTTGCCGTTTACATTGTGAAGGAAGAGGCGGCAAGAAGAGGTGATGACAGGGGATGGGTGGGTGTTGTTCTTGGTTTTTTTTTTATGGGTGGGTGTTGTGATAAAACAAACCACATTTCTCTTATTGATTTTATTAAACGTTTTAGTCTCCTTTCCAGAGATACGAATTTACTAGTCATGTAAACGGCTATTTAAAGAACACCAAAAACAATAAATTATTGATTCAATTATAAACAATGCAATTTTTATCATATTTTGTTATACCGCTAACCCAATATTTCAATAAGAGAGGGGAGGGGAAGTACCAGCACATTCGCGCGTCACGCATTAAGTGTACTTCATTTCACACGCCAAGCTTGCCTACATCAGGCGTCACACAATCTCCTTTAGCATTAATACCCTACTTCTCACAAGCATCACTCCTGAATCTTTCAAAGGCTAGATTTCCGTCGCTCTCTCGGGTCCGGTCGCGTTCCTCAGGGTAGGAGCGCGGGCTCCTTTTCCGAACAGCGGCTAGTAATCGAGCTTGGGAAATTACTTCATTTGAGAACTCACGTGTAACACTGATGCAACAAAACGAATACAACTAACAACAAAACGTAGATGAATTCTGAGCTTTTAGCGAAAAGCATGGTCAGTTGACAGTGTGGATGATAAAAATTGATTTCTCAGGCCACGTTGTCGGAAAATTTAATGAATTTTTTTGATATTTTCCTCACCTATCAGTAATCTATTTCTCAAGAGCCACTAGAAATCATACCCTGAGTGCCAGGAAAATCATTTCCAAGGTCCAAGAGAACGCCGCTTTGGCGGCGATTCTTCGCTATTGCGGCGTTCTCGTGGTCTTGGAAAAAACAAACGTCTCTGGCACCCAGGGTATAGAAAGTAAGGAGCTGATACGAAAATCTCCAAAAGAATCCTATTCTCTCAACCGTCCGAGCACTATGAAAAATGTTAGTAGAAAATTTTCCGAGTTTCTTAGCTGCTCAAGAAACAAAATAAATCAGTTACAAATTCCCAGTATTGGGTTATGCTATCTCCTCAAAGCGGACACCTCTCTAACATCTGCTAAGGCGAACAGTTAGCACTGGGCACAAACTGGTGTATGTCCTGATCTTTCCCTTGATTTGCTCCTGCTGAAGGGTTCGAGTTGACCGTGTTGACTTTTTGACGAGAAATTAGTACTAATGTTTGTTCTAGGTCCAGGTTATCGAAGCGGAGCTAAGCACAAAAATGGGCATCCACATTCTTGTCCCCCGAGACCAAAGGATAACCATCTCTTGCCGGTTTTTTTGACCATGCGTAAAGTCGATACATGTCCGACAGTCAGCCAACCAGATCTGAGCGGAAGTCCGTTAATCATACTTACAAACTGGAATTGGCCAGAGATCGCTATCCATTCCATACAGACACTGAAAATACAAGGAGTGCTATAGCGTGTGTTTCCGAGCATTTGTGTGAAGTCTTGTTCTTGGGTTGCTAAAGAAACTGTGCTTTGGGGCACGTTATAACCCCCTGTCATCATTGCATTCTGCAGTTGTTGCCAATGTCCTCAGCATATTGATCGCAGATGAACTTTCTTAGATCTTCCACGTCTAACCGCAGCTGCTGGACTCCATTTATCTTGGATTTTATAACGTCTACATCATCCGATGAATCTTTACTGTCGGCTTCTTCTTCGTCGGTAGTGGTTGCTAGACAACAACGGAAGAAATAGTATTAAAGAAAGTATTGCAAGTGAGAACTATTGCTACTATTCTATATATCACTGGTCACACAGTACCATCGTTTTTAAAACAGACCTAAAATTTAGCAGCACCTTGTAAAGCAAGAACCGGCTGTACCACATCAGAGAGCTGCTCAATAGCTTTCATCTCATTGTGAATGGTCATACTGGGGTTTCATCCATAAAACCATCTTGCACAGCATAATAAAAACAGTACAATAGGAACAGAAAGTACTGCTCAATAGCTTTCATTTGAATGGTCACACACTGGGGTTTCCATCCATATACTTAAACAGCTAAAACCTCCTTCAGTCCTACAGTTTACCGAACAGTATCACATAAAAAATAGCTTTCATTTGAATGGTCATGCACACACTAGTATATCATCCACGAACGTAATCCTCACGACTAGATGGCTAATGCGTCTTCTCACATAAAAAAAATATGCAGTAATAACAAACAACTGAACAACAAGATCAATGTGAACTCACATCTGAGACCAAGTAGAATGGACATGTCAGGATCTTTCCCTTGTTTTCTTTCTCGACAAACTTGTACAACTGACTTAAGTTCCGCCGTGCATTCGGACAACTGTAATCAAAACAAAGCCAAGTGTTTAGTTTCATAGCAAACAACATTTACAATAACTGTAATTAAACAACCGTTAGAAAATAAAGCTGAAGTTCATCCTCCCACTTAGGAAACTAGGAAATGTTTCGCAGTTGTATTCTTTCAGAGAAGTTAGTGTTAACGTTCGTCCCGTATTTGTAGATGTCCAACCATCATCAAACTCGGTGCGACCAACTTACAGCTCGCGTTTAGGGGCTTCAATTTTCTCACCTCCTTCCAAAGTTTTCTCTGAGATTCTAACTTCTCCTTTGAGCTGAGCTTTTGTAGCTATAACAAAAAAATACAAAGCATAAATTTGTAAAAGTTTACTAAAAAGCCAAAATATTTTACTTTCTAAACCATTTTGTTTAAGTTCACGATTTCTTAAGTTGTAGACTGCAAAACAGTTAGACAACTGCATCGGCATTTTTTATCGACTTCGGAGAGGCGTACGAAGAGTCACCGACTATGTCCTACCAAAAGGGAAGAGGCACGAACTTATTCCGACGACAGTCGTGCCTTACTCGAATGACTCGGAAAAATGTAACGTCTATCGCAAAGTTCGAAAAGTAACGACATCAATTCAGTTACTTTCGGATTTGTCGGTTATCAAGCATGAAATTTTATTGCTACGGTTGGAAGAAGGTCGTAACCTTTGGTGAAGAGGGGAGGGGAGAACTTAAAGGTAACGTAACTTCCTTACCTGCTCGCAGCGGCATTGAAGATTTAAGTTCTCTTCCAGTAGATCCTGGTTGTGGGAAGCGATCTGAATGAACGATATTAAAAAGCTTACAAATAAAATACATTGATGTATGATCAGGACACTCTTTGGTCACTGACTACCTTACAACAACTCACTACAGTAAGGCAACCCAATAAGTTCATCGTCGTCCTATTTAACATACGAATTCCTTTTACCGGTGACCGAACATTGGACTTGAAGTACGTATTGCATGAGATAGTTAGCTTGATGATCAATTATTGTCGCTGGGGTTGACAATTTAAGGATAAATTACACAGTAGTTGACAAAGGAGAATTTCGAAAGTGCCTTGATGATTCTCGAAGTTTTACCACAGACCCTAGACCACTGACAAATAGCTTTACATTTTATTGTGGAAATGTACATTGTACTCACATCCTTGACTGCTTTCTTGACTTCATCAAGTGAGTTGCCTTTCGTAACGAGTTCTTCTCGTAAAGCGTTCACCATTTCCTGTAAATAGAAGTACCATATGTACAAAACGTTAAGTTGGCAAAGTAGGCAAGCCACAAAATAACATCTCTTAATGAAACAGAAACACGTGTTTCTCTTCCGTAAACACCAGGTCGATGCAATTTTAGTAGCCTATAAGATGGCTCACCTTTTCGTCTCATACGCGAGCTCTCGCAGCTTCGCCGCTCACCCCTGAGACCCAGGCCTAAAACTACAGCAGAAATGGCCACGACCATTGTATAAGGCTTGACTGTCATTGATGGCATCGCCCGTTCAAGGAAGGGAATCAAAAGCAGTGTCCTTGTTGCCAGGCTCGATTTCCGCCGCTCTTTCGCGTACGGTCTTCATTAAAGTTTTGGTAATGGAGTCCACCTTCTGGTATAAATTAGCACCACTATACAACCTCGTTCCCAAGGCTTTTTTCTGGGAACGAGGTTGGCCATTACATCCTTTTTCTGCCTACCTCTTCCTGTGCTAACCGCTCCTCCAAGTTCTTCTGTTCTTTCTGTGTTTGGTAGTGAAGCGCTTTCATTTTCTTGTGCTTGGCCTCTAACGCCTAAACATAGCAATTCCGTTAGAGACAAAAAACCAAAGGAAACGAAGTTGGCCTTGACATTGACGTCGTCATTGCATTTGCTTTGCTTTCTTGGGCAAAAGCTTTTACTCTTATATTACCTCTAACGTAACAGGAACTAAAAAGACCGCCAGTGTTAGCGAAGAATTAGGTGAACTGTAGACCAGTGAGTATTCCTTTCTAACAACCTACTATAGTTTTAATAATAATTAAAAACACTGAAAAACAGAAAATCCTGTCCTTATTCAACCCGATTTTTGTAGTGCAATGCTGACTAGGGGAACTCAACTTCCTTCGAAAACGTATAAACTCGTGCTTGGCTTACATTTAATCGATTATGTTACCTGTCACGGAATGAGAGGTTATCAAACGGTCCTTTGATAAACGCTAACGCTAAAGAAAGATTACGTGACGAGCAAAGGGAACCTTCAATTCTTCAGTGAGCAATTCTTAATCCGCAAAGTTTATCATTTTTACCTTCTTTGTACGGTCAAGCTCTCCTTGTAACCGTTCATTTTCCATCTTGAGGTCTTCAAAGCTAATTAGCGATACTGGACCATCATTTGTTATTTTATCGAGGGAAACCTGCAGTCTAAAAACAACAAACGTTTACTTCAGTATACTGACATTGACACTTCAGTGACATTGAGCCACATCAGTCAACCTGTCAAAAAATGTTTGGATTGCCTCAAAGTTGTGAGTAGCTCTTAGCTCTCTTTCCAGCTTGCGCCCAGAGACGGAGTAAACAAAACTCACCTCCCCTTCTTGGGAACCACTTTTGTTGGGATTTGCTCTTTTGCCCTTTTTGTTTTAAGTGGGGGGGGGGNTGTTTGAGAAAGTGGGAGGGGTAGAAGGGGGGTAGACGGAGAGAGGGATGCCCTGGACATCATGACACATCGTCACAGCTGAACCTGCTTAACTTATTGAAAGAATTTACAGAAACTTCAAAACAAGCCGCACTCTTCACATTTACCTTTGCACGTTTTCTTTCAAAGTACTATTTTCCGCGATTAATTTCTTTGCCTCGTCATCCTATATGGAACAGATAAGGACAAGTTAAAAGTTGTTGCCAGAGATGGATTGGCAGAAATAGCAAAGAATAGCCTTTTGCGGAGAATCTAAAACACTGAGAACTGAATAAATTTGCGGTTACTACTTTTGGTCAGCTCAGTAATTCTGTTGCAGTAAAAAGGAAAATTACTGCTCTATTTGCTTTCCATCATAAATTTTTGTTTAACTGTTGAAAACCCTTGTACAAAGAGACGACAAGAAAAGTCCAACTGAATTAATCTAATACTTCACCTTATTTCCAAAAGCTTTGTTCATGCGTGCTAACTTCTTGTCTTTTGAGGAAATTGTGTCTCTGAGCTTTTCACATTCATCACGGACCTCTTTAAGGTGAAAAATGTTAAAGACAACAACCACTGACATATTACCACATTTTACGTTTACAGCTTCCAGTGATCGTGAACTTGTACCACCTTCTGACAGATGCTCTTTGGGCTCGTCACTCGTTTCTCCCAAACGAAAGATTGCGTGACGACTCAAAAGAATCACTGCGCAGAAGGCTATATGAGGTATGACTCAGTTTACAGCTACATTAAAATACTTTCAGCTTCTTAAAATTACGGATATTTAACAAATATCGTCTAATTTTTTTGGGCATGATTTCTAAGAAGCAACAGTGGTAAGTAGAAAATGTTTCAAGGATATAGTTTTATTTAACTTCTGATGTTCCTCGACAGTTGGTACTTCCTTCAAATAACGCTCCAAACTCTGCTTTTCTCGCCTGGTGAAAAAAGGCAAAACAAAAAAAAGACAATATGCCATCAGTTACCACGAGTCACTGGAGATGACTGGGAATTGAGCTTGTAAAGACTGACGTTCATTTCCAAGGTCTCTCTTTATATATTCAACAATATTGCGTTGTTAAATATTGCTCCCGTTTTGTCACAGTCGTTACATCACGCAGTGCTTCTATTCAACAATGGGGAGAAGTTAATTTGGGTTAATTTCGCTCCGACGAAGGGCTAACGCTCGAAACGACAGCTTTCGAATCTATATACGGTGGCCAATTCACATTATCAACCCAGTTGATAAAACCAAATTATCTTGTTATACTCCTCACCGACG